ATATATATATATATATATATATATATTGTATGAAAGTTGAACAATATTGTATAAAATTTGTATTTAAGTTGTATGTTATTATAGTTGTATTTAGCTGGGTAGAAATAATATATAAAAATTGTAGATAATTTGTAGATAAGTAGTATAATATATAATTAGTTGTATGAAATTTATTTTTACTATGTATAAATCAGATACAAAATATACAAAAGACATATTGTATAAAATTTATATAAAAATTGTATTTAAGTTGTATGATATTTTAGATGTGTTTAATTGGGAAAAAATAATGTATGAAAGTTGTAGATAAGTTGTAAATAAGTTGTATACTATATAATTAGTTGTATAAAATTTGTTTTTACTATGTAAGTTGTTGTAGATATTCAAATTTGCATTAAATTTGTACGAAATTTATTTTTAATTCGTATGTGAAGTACATACATTGTTCTTTTCTGATTAGTTGATTTATTAAGGAAAGAAAAGTAGAGAATAAATTCCAAATCAACTCATGTGCACTGATTCATTTTTGTTTGAACGAAAAAACTTGAATACTGATGGAATTGAATGATTTTGGTGGAGAAATTTCGAGTTTCACATTAAAAGCGCCACAGTCACACTTCGGAGAAACTGAGTTTTATGTGAAATTTGAATTTTATGTGAGAAATTAACTGGGCAACATAGATTCTTGTTGGAAATACTAATACAAAGTTGACTTTAAAGTTTGGAAGCGATTGAATTTAATTTGAAATCTAGTAAAACTTCAAATCTGCTCAATTATACTTTTTGATCCAACTGCGATTGGTGTTGTAGTTTGACAATGTTGTTACGAAATTAATAATTTGGATTAGCAATATTTTCTATGAGAAAGGTCAATACTTTAGCCAATACTGTAAACAAATGCACCACCAAAATAAATTTTAGGTAGGCCGATACTCTAAACAACAATATATAATACTATTTTTGGTGGCGATTAAAGGTGTCTCGCCACATAAGATCGTTATTGGAAATTTTATTTCGTGTAATGATTACTTTAGCTTTGAATCAACTTTCAGAATATCAACTTGTGTTGATGCTATTAGCACCACTGTAATATCAATCAAGCCTTTCTCAAAAATTCAATTGTTTGTTCAATATTATTCTTGGTGGGTTCTATTGCACCTAGACGATTTTGTTGAGATAGGGTGGAGGAAACCAAAGAAAGAGAAAATGGATGAGGATTTGAGAAACTGAGGAAGACGAGGATTTTGAGATTTTAAATCCCTTGATTGAAGGCACAAATAATGGATTGGGAGCCTTTTAAGGTGGATTGTATATATTTTGTAAACAAAACTTGTTTATGCGGGGTAATTAACTAAACATGGACATTAAGGATAATAAAGTTTCAAATAATGTATAGGAATGAAAAAATCCCAATATACTATTTATGCAAATCTCCCTTCTGCAGGTTCATGACTTGTTTTATGGCAGACTGGTTTCATTGTGTTGGATGGGCCTGGTAGATGCCTATCAGAGTGGCCCACGTCTAACTATTTTGGGCCTGATCGACGCCTATCAGAGTAAGTAAAAGTAGACAAATTTTCTAGGGAAATTACCAGCTATGTCCATTTATAAGTAGCTCATTACAAAAATTGGCCAATAGATAAAATATTACTAATATTAGCCAAATTAGCCAATTAGCTATTTGTAGCAAAAAAATATCAAATTTTTGCTTTGTTTTGAGTGAGTGTTATTAGAATAGATTGGACACAACTTAAGGAGCTTGAATCTCAGTTTTGGGATGATTTGGTGAAGTTTTGAGGTGGTTTGAATTGAAAATTCGAAGTAAAAGCTGAATATGAAAAAAATGATATGTGTATCACACCGTGTATCATTTGTGTATCACATATGTATCATATTTGTATCAATTGTGTATCACATGTATATCCATGTATACCTGTGCGTGAGATACATGCGTGATACATGTGTTGCAGAAGACTTTTTTGAACTCGATTTAATTACGAATTTTGATGCAAAACCAGTCCTTTCTTCTCTACTTGGTAGCTGCTTCTTCACCGTTCAAGTAGATGTGCTGTATCAATATGGCAACTCAAATCACCTCCAATCTTCCTCAAATTTTGTATATTGACTTATCTATATATTTTCAATGAATTTCAACTATACCCATTGAAAAAGTTCCTTTTTTGTTTAAATTTTTGGAATATTGTATAGATTTTTATATTTCATCCCCTTATTTGCTACCCCGTCCATGAAATTTCCTTTCCGTCTTGTATCTAATGTTGCTAATGACGCTTAAAAATATGGAAGGTGATTTTTGCATGTGATTCTTTGAGAGAAAGAACCCTATTATTTGGTTTTTTAATTTTTGTTGGCTAGTTTTGGTAAGTCTATGACTAATGGCTAGAGGTTGGTAAGTTGAGATGTATTTGGGACATTTGTGTAAGTTTCCCAATTTTCTAAGCTATATAGAATAGGGAAACTTACACAAATGTCCCAAATAAATCTCAACTTACCAACCTCTAGCCATTAGTCATAGACTTACCAAAACTAGCCAACAAAAATTAAAAAACCAAATAATAGGGTTCTTTCTCTCAAAGAATCACATGCAAAAATCACCTTCCATATTTTTAAGCGTCATTAGCAACATTAGATACAAGACGGAAAGGAAATTTCATGGACGGGGTAGCAAATAAGGGGATGAAATATAAAAATCTATACAATATTCCAAAAATTTAAACAAAAAAGGAACTTTTTCAATGGGTATAGTTGAAATTCATTGAAAATATATAGATAAGTCAATATACAAAATTTGAGGAAGATTGGAGGTGATTTGAGTTGCCATATTGATACAGCACATCTACTTGAACGGTGAAGAAGCAGCTACCAAGTAGAGAAGAAAGGACTGGTTTTGCATCAAAATTCGTAATTAAATCGAGTTCAAAAAAGTCTTCTGCAACACATGTATCACGCATGTATCTCACGCACAGGTATACATGGATATACATGTGATACACAATTGATACAAATATGATACATATGTGATACACAAATGATACACAATGTGATACACATATCATTTTTTTCATATTCAGCTTTTACTTCGAATTTTCAATTCAAACCACCTCAAAACTTCACCAAATCATCCCAAAACTGAGATTCAAGCTCCTTAAGTTGTGTCCAATCTATTCTAATAACACTCACTCAAAACAAAGCAAAAATTTGATATTTTTTTGCTACAAATAGCTAATTGGCTAATTTGGCTAATATTAGTAATATTTTATCTATTGGCCAATTTTTGTAATGAGCTACTTATAAATGGACATAGCTGGTAATTTCCCTATATAATACATGTACATACAATTTAAATTGAACTCGCCGTAAAAAATCAGGCATAAGTAAGGAATATTATTCGTCACTCCGAAACCTATACTGAAATGGATTTCCTACAACTATTCGGATTTGGATTTTTCCATCATAGTTTTAGTAAACAAAAACAATGGAGGTATACACAACCAAATCCCATAATCTGAATCGGTCGAGTAGTTTCTCCAGCAGCTTCTCTTGTCGAAGCTCTAGTTTGTTGACCCGACCCGCATCCCCAAACCGGGTCAATCTTTGCCGACCAGTAATTCCTTCATCGTTTTCTTCCACGTCAACCGGCGGTTCTATTTCCGTTCACCGCCGTGAACCACAGCAGAATAGCGGCCAACAAAATCATCATCAGAAGACGAAAGGACATTGCATGTGTGCGCCGACAAATCATCCAGGTTCATTCCGTTGTAGCCTTCACAAGAATTCAAATCAGACCAAATATGGCCATATCAATACGACGACGACGAAGACGAGGAGTCATCAGCACTTGAATTTGAATATTATGCGGCGATCGGCAATGGTGAATTCGCTGGTTCGTATTGGAGCAGTTGAAGATGGCGAATTGATAATCTCAAGAGTACGCACGATTTTCAGCCTAGGTCAAGCAGGCTCTCCGTTATGTCCAAGGCAAAAGATTTTTGACAACGACCTACAATTATAGTATATAGTAGTAGTGTTTAGTTTGTAGGAGTTGGGAGTTTTACCTTTAATTTTTTAATTTTTCAGGCAAAATTTTGTAGCACTATTCTTTTATTGAATTTGCATATATGAATCAAAGCATATCACTGTCCAATATTAATATATTATACTTATGCGAATGTACGTATCTAATTTTCTTGTTTAATCAAAACTCCACGGTCGATTAAATATTACCACAGTAAATTTTTTTTGAAGTATCATTCTTTCAGTTGGCATATGGTCCACTGACGCAATAAAATAAAAGACCATATAGCAGTCAACAGAGATTCAGAATGATAAAAACTAGCTGGGTTTTGCAATTATACTATGTAGCTAAAGTGAAAAAAAACAATTATTCTATATATTATATATTGAATCTTTGTAACTTTTTTGTGTGCTTATTTCTATATATTTTGATACCTTTTAATAAAAAATTTGTGTGTTTGTCATCGGTTAAACACACAGATAGGTCATTGTTACAACGAGACGAGACGCATAGTACCTTTGGATCGTAATTTCTCGTAAGCCAAAAGGTCATAGGACTAGAATAAAATATGACAAAACAAGAGTAGAAGTTTTTCATAGTCCTGCTTTAATCAATGGCAAAGTAGTAATAATGGAATGTGTGGTAAATACCTCATGGGTTCAAAGCATAACATTTTAACTGGAGAAGTGTAAATTGTGTGCTTATTCACTGAATTCCAAGCTATGAACAACTAATTTACCCGTGAGATTCTTGGGCCATGACTTGATCATATAATCACGAATCACGGTAGAAGTTTATTCGCGCAAGGTATTTACGTCAAACCAATGGATGTATGGCATATGTTTATAAATAAATTTCTCTTACTTAATCATAGTTAATTAATACATATTTTCACTTAATAAAAATCACTTAACCATGATGACGACGAACAGAGGGGGACCCAAGATTTGAAGGTCGAGGGTGCACTTTTGAGTTCAACCAAACTCTGCTTTGTATATAGGGTGTACACTACTAATATATCACTATTTTCTAAAGACATATATATGTATACATGAAATTTTTGCCGAACCTTACGTGTGCTCGTGACCCCTCTCGGTATAGCATAGGTCCGCCTCTGATGATGAAGCAATAAAATATCTCCCTCGTACTCTCTAATTTCTATAATAGAATAAGTTGATTTTCGAAGCTAGGTCAAACAGACTATTTTGTATTAACCGAGAAGCGCTTGAGTAAAAATAGAAATAGTTTTTTTTAGGAGTAATACATATTGCCAACATAGAGAACATAAATTATTTCCAATCATAAATTTTGGTAATAGAAGAGGGATTAGAATCAGGATCTACATTAGTAAAATAGAAGCCATCTGATTTCACTATCCAAAAGCAATCAGATGTATCAAGTCCTCCATGATCTGCACATGCCCCTGAGTCTCTAAACACCTCAAATGCTTTGTCTTTTGAACCCCACCAAAAATGACAGAAGAAAACTGTCTCTACAAAAAAATGCAGTCCGAATGTAAACATAAATCTTGGTTAAACTTTGGGTAATGATATCCAAGATCTTCATCTCCAGATGCACAATGATATATTAATTGAGGAGACGTCGCGTTAATACTGTCCATTATATGAACAGAAATAGGAGGAATACCAAACTGTATAAGTCTGGATTTGGTTTTCATATCATTGACAACTTGCCTGCCAGTAGCATTGATTTCTTGTATAAAATAAAATGTAAAAATGAACAAGCAAAAAATCTGCTTGATCAAAATGCAGCCCATGTTTTTTGTATACAAGTTGATAAAATCTCTTTCTCTGAGCTTTATCTTCCCTTTTAAGGGGAAACACGTTGTGTATAATATATATGCATGCTAATTATTCTTCAGAGTAAATGGTCAAACAAGAAGTTATAGTTTATTTTTGGTTTTGTCATAATTTGAGATAAGCCAGAGGGTTTTTAGATAGTTACTTAATAATATTCAATTGCAACAGATTACATTCTATAGATTGTGCAACAGGGTTCAATAAATGCTAAGGTTTTCATTTTCTTTCTTTTTCTGCCATAATTGTGTGACTATGACATAACATAGTGGGAATAGGTCTTATTTAGAGAGTTATTTATCCAAAATCCAAATTTAAAATGATTATTGCTGGTGACAATGGAGTATATGGTTGTAGCCAAAATAAACTTAGTTAAACCAATTATATGAAACAATATCCTCGTAGTCAAGCATTTTAGTGTATATAACCAACTTTCTTATCAACTTGTTATTGAATTAAATCAATATCTTTATCTTATTCAATTTAAATTTGTATGTTTTTCTAATTTTGAGATAGTATTTTATCGATAATTTCAGTTTGTAAGCCCCTTTATGGGTTAGGTTCAATTGCCTCGTTATGTTATTTTGGTTTTCAATAAAACAAATCGCGTAGAACTCTAAGCTTTGGACTAAGGTGTTCAGTCAAAAAGCATCTAAACAACATAAGGTTCATTTTGTACAACAAACTTTTCAAGTAGATTAGTCTTGAAATTGCAAGACTAATTTTCATCTTGTTACAAAGTTCTTTATGAAATAAGTGCTCCAATCATTTTACCTTCGATGTGTATTTCAGTTTAGCGTGACATTCTGCCAGGACACTATCAATATCAAGTCTAAGAGTATCCAAATTTTCAGTGAACACTCCAGATTTACTGGTAACAACTTTTCAGAGGTAACTTAATAGGTTTTTCATAAACACACTGAATACTATTTTCAGCAATATTCAATTTCGATACCCAACTAATGTTTGAAAAGCATGTGTCATATTCAGTGCTCATTTAATATACAGCTGCATCCAATATGAGGCGAGATCGACAAGCGGGAGCTTTGGGACTAATAAAATTTCTAGGAATAAATTTAGGTATTGGCAAGGAAGGGCAGAAGATTTTACGGTAGTCAGATGGCACAAAAAGAAAGCAATATACTTTCTTCATTACTATATGGAAAAATTACATACAGTAGCGACCAATACATTTGAAATACAGAAGAAAATGTCCGAGGAAAAGAAATTTTCAATAAAATCATTGTTTGTATTAATTCAAACTCCAGCAACCAGGACAAAAAGACGGGGAGGATGACATTTAATTGCAACATCTATCTACAAAGATGCGTATACCAATTCTACTAGTATAACATGCTCGAAATCGAAAGGAGCTCACCGTGAAGAACAAGAACAAGCAACCACCCCCAACAAGAATATATATGAATCAATCTTCTCAAAATTACCTAATTTATGATCTATAACCGGATCCAGACGGTGGTGGGCCAGGCGGCAACCTGTTAGGGGTGCGACGGCCAGCAGAACTCGAGCGTGTATTTGCATTACCATTTTCAGCAGCCTCACTGTAGCGGCGACTGCTACCACCTGACCCATACCTAGAGAGACTAGAAGGGCCATTTGCAGCAGCATCAAATGCAGATCTCCAATCATCACCAGATGACGGGCCTGAAGCTGTTGGGCTACTTTCTGCAGAAAAAAAGAGCACAATATGAATTTGAGAAGTGCAAAATCTAAAAGACCTCAACAAGACAAGAATATGGTCTTTCACAAATCAAAACCTGCAGAAATGAAAGAATAAGTCAACACCCGATATGGCATCCACGGGATTCAGGGAGAGGACATAAAAAAGAGGTGGTGCGATTAACCACCGGCATCAATTTACCCCAAATCATGCTGCAAAAAGTCTTTGATTGCAGTTAGAGTGTAACAGAATCCAGACAAGGGAAACACATAAAGCTAGCCAGGAACTAACTGGAAATTAGCTGAACATGAAGTATTAGCTACTAAGACCAATCAGCAATCAGAGAAATACTTTAAGAAGCATAATGCTTTCAAAAGTACCTGGGAAGTTTGTTTCAACTAATTTAACAAATAATTAACATTTTTACTCAAACCCAAAGAAAGTAATAAAACAAATAAAACTAGTGGGACTTCAAATGTCCTCAGACAAGGAAAACAAATGAGCAACCTATAAGGGAGGATTACCTGCTTCACCATTTGCGTAACTGGCAGCAGCAGCTGCTCTATTGTCATGGATACTGAGTTGTCTAGTAAGCTTAGAAAGAAGAGAAGATTGTTTCTGGATGCGCTCTCTCCTTCGTTTTACATTCTGGTCTTCCTGGAGCAGCTCTTCAATCTTTGCAGTACTTTGGGCACTACATTTCAATAAGTCGTACAATATCAACACACTTAACCCAGGTGAATACCAACAAAATGAACTATTCAATATATTAAACCCAGAAGAAACAAACAAAATGGTCTCTAAGGATGATGGTTTAATACACAGATTCTTGCAGTAACTGCAGGTTTCCATGTTACAACTTACAACTCCTTTTGGCCAAATTGAATGTCTATATTTCCTTCTACCAATTTATTGAAGAAAGAATAGAAACTTTGCTCTGTGTGTAACTAATTAAAAAGAAAAACTTGTATTGAAGTAGGAAAATAAGTTCTACGTGACTTCTGAAATTTTTACAGAAAGATGGCTGTTGAAATTGTTGAAGAAAAGTACAGTTGCAAAGTGGTCCTTTGGTTGATGGCTACAATCTTAGGATCATTTGCAACTGAACCCTTACTGTCACACAAGCAAATACAGCATGCCACAGCAGATGAAAGATGTTGAGACAAAATATCCGCAAGGAAATTTTGGACTGTTTACCTGATAGAACTATACAATTTAGTAAGCATGTCTTCTTTGGCCTTCTCCACTTGGCAGAGAACAACTGCCTGAAACCAAATAAACAATGCACCATGTGAGATGGGGCTTTACACGAAAGAACAAAGAGAAGTGTAGAGGACATGCAAGATTAAGACCGACTTTTGGCACATTGGCTGCAAGGCTGTTTAGAACAGCTTCAACATAACCACGCACTTCTTGAGCCATCCATCGAAGTTCTTCTTCGGGATCCACCGGTCTTCTAGTCATTGTTTCCTAAAACAAGCAGCAAAATTAGTAAACTA